AAACCGTTAAAGACAGGAAGAAGAACCAGAGAATGTAACGACTGGTGCACAAATCTGCTTCCATGGAGACACCATGCCCAGCCCCGCCATGTGGAAGCTCAGCCCTGCCATGTAGAGGCCCAGCCCCGCCATGTGGAAGCTCAGCCCCGCCATCTGGAAGTTCAACTTCATGGGGAGCACCAAGCTTAGCCCCCCCACACAGTTCTTCAAGCGCAAGCCAAATTCCCACTGAAAGACAATATTTCAAAACACTCTGTGCCATCTTCCAGCACCTACACCCTAATTCCTTATCCATACCAACACAGAAACCTTTCTCACAATCATCCATTTCAACCCCCAATCCCATCTACCTCTGTTTCCCATCTTCCCTTACCCACATCCATTATATCAGCTCCTTCCAATGCAACAACCATTTTCACACTACCCTTATCCACATCCTCAATCTTCCCCCTACACATAAACCTACCCTCCTCCTGGCACAAGGACATAGATCAGATGAACAGAAATCCATAAAACAGAGCAAAATAACAAAAAGGAAACTACAAGTGAGAAATGTAAATGGAGATAGGAGAACAAGCAATAGTGATGAATGAAGACAGCAGATAGTCAAGGCATCAATAGATATCATAGCACCAGCAGTAATAAGTCTTACATAGGTGATAACAGATACGATCTATCCAGTAAGATATCAAACTATGAAATAAAGACGAAGGAAACAGAGGAGATGGAGGAGAAGCATTGCTAATCAGGAACCAGTGAATTTTATGAGATGACTGGAATAAATGGAGAGTGATCAAATGACTACATACAAAAGATGCCTAAAACTAAGAGACCCAAAGTGGTGACAACAGTGATGTACAACCAAGACCTCAATATGACAACAACAGAAAAGCATTAGTGGACACGACAGCCGAGGTGGCTACAAGATCCCACACAGGCAATGCAAAACTATTAATCTCTGAAGATCCCAATCACAAGAAACTAGAGTGGTAGAATCTGGAGCCACATGATGGATCAGAAACGTGGAGAGCTAAGTTGTTGGAGACGGCTAAAGAAACCTTCATGATTCAGCATATCAGGAACACAGCTAGAGAGGGGGACTTAAAACTCTAATTTTTAAAGGGTTGGATTGGTAAGCCAGCGGAAGGCATCGGTCACATGACCAAACGCTTAAGCAACGGGTCGTCATATGACTAAGACTCGCGTCAGGAAACACTTAACCTGTTTCCTGACAAACCTTTCCTAACCAAACCTAGCTAAAGAAGAGGCGACGAACTAGCAAAACTGATATTCACCTTACGTGACTTCAATGTATGGAACATTGAGCTTGAGAAGTCATTTAGCGCTAGCTACCATATAGTACTAAGGTTTGAATATCTGAAGGGAACTGAACGCGCAAAGAAATACATAACAGAAGGACAGAGACAAACCTGACTTCAAGCATGAGACAGTTTTTAAATGGAATGCCATGGAAAAGGAAGTTATATGGAAAGAAAGAGAACAAAATAATAGAGTATGTAGCTGGAAAATGCCTGGAGACAGAAAAGAAATTCATACACAGAAGCAGAAGAAGCATGGTTCAATTGGTGATACAAAAAGACAAAAGTCAAAAGTGCAAAAGCCTGGAAGAAATACATAGAGTAAAAAACGCTGCAGATTACTGAAGCGAACAGAAGAGCCAGACAAGAATATGCATGAGAAAGAAAAGAAACTGAACGAGAGCTTCAGAATTTCAGCATCGGAAGTCAAACCTGAGCCACATTTGCAATACACTCACATCATAATGTGTAGTGAAGGACCAGGTAATAACACTTAAGAAGGGAAGAAATTTTGCGAGGATCTAAAAAAAAGATTTAAGGAGGGATTCTCAATGGAAACAGGAGCATTACCAGAGATTCAGAGAGAAGGAGTGCACTTGTGAGTGCTGGATGCAAGACACAACAGGACAAGAGGTGAAGAAACTGTTGAGTGAACTAAAATCTTGAAAGTAATCGGACCAAAGAACATTTCTTCATGGGTTATGAAAGAGGGAACAAAACTGTGAGAACCACCAGCCACGATCTTCAGCAAATCAGCTGAAACATGGCAGTCGCTGTAGATGTGAAAAAACAGTAAATCGATGACAAACAAGGAGAATTAATTCATGAACCAATATTACTAACACAATATGTAAGATTATGGTGAAAGCACCTGAAAAGGAGCAGGTTCATAAACGAAAACCAAAAATGTTTTAGACAGAGTATATCATGTCTCGCAAATCCACTAGAGTTCTGTATCGATGTAACCACAGCCAATCAAGAGAGAGAGAGAGAGAGAGAGAGAGAGAGAGAGAGAGAGACAGACAGACAGACAGACAGACAGACGGACAGACAGAGACAAAGAGACAGACAGAGATAATAAAGAGACAGAGTAAGAGAGAGAAGGAAGTGTGCCCGGGTCATTGTTATGGAATGTCTAAGTCAATACACAAATAACCCGCACATAGAAGAGAGGAGCTTACGACGACGTTTCGGTCCGACTTTTCTCCAACTATCAGAGCCACCAATGCTTCTATGATGACCTAGTTACAAGCAAAACTGCACTACCCAACGTAGCACCCAGAATGACCAAAGATTACCAACAGTGAAACCTACAAATCGAAAATAATAGAGTTCAAAGGTAGACTGCCCTCAAACCCAAAGCAACACCCCACTGCCAGCTGAACAACGTAACCCTAAGCTTTGTATAACTACAACTTCTTAATTACAACAATTCCTGTAGTATTATGAGGTTCAATCTCAGAGGAAACAGCACCAAGGACAGCAAGAAAACACCGAAAAATCAACTATTCAACAAGTGTAGCCAGGAGGACGCTGGCCCAGCTACCACCCCACTCACCACCACTCAAGGCAACACCACAACAATAACAACAAACATGGCTGCCACCAGCCCATCCTCCCCTCTCTTCCCCGGATTCAACCTACCAAGTAGTCTCTCAGGTATGACCAACGATCCAGATACCCTAAAGTCATGCATCTCCACCTTAGTTATTGAAAATATGAATCTTCGAGAGACGCTAACAAAACAAGACACCAGGATGACACAACTTGAGAACAAAATCCTCAGTCTTGAACAAAAGTTATCAACACCGGGAATGACTAACTGTGGCAAGACCATCCAAACAGTCATAGATAGCCATACAGAATAAATAATATCTCTTAATACAAAGGTTGAAGAAGCAGTAAAAGAATGGAAGAACAACTTAGATAACCAGTTCAGTGACTACTTTGCTCTCCAAGAAGATAAAACTGAGCAAGATAAACTATCGGATGCAGTAATAGTTAACAGTCCACTTTTTCCCAGTGATATGAACCAAACGAACAGTAAAGAAATTACTCTCCAGATCATAAAGGACCAAACAAAAGTTACAGTACCAGAGTCAGAAATAAAGGAAGCCAGGTTACTAGGATCCCATGGTAGAAAAAGTGTTATGCTTAGATTCCACTCACATGACAGGAAAAAAGACTTAATAATTGCATCTATTAAAGTAAAGAAAGAGGTATACATAAACGAGTGTCTTACCAAAAAACGTCAGAACCTCCTGTATAGAGTCAGAAAACTTAAGCGGGAGAATAACGACACAATACACCAATGCTTCACACGGGATGGGAAAATTCTTGTTAGGAAAACAAATGTAGGTCAACTGTACACAATCACGAACGAGAATGATCTATCACGATTTCTCAGGGATACTAATCTTACAGAGAATAACTAAACAATGTCCAACTTAAAAGCCTAAGTAGTGTAGTGTATGTTTTGCTCCATTATTGTTCAAATTTCATAGTGCAATCTCTTAGTATTTAAATAATCAACTACCTCATTTTGTGATTTTACTAGTAAGCATAAGTCACCTTATGTAATTTTCATATTTACTATTGTTTGCTTAAATATTAGCTGAATTGATACTTTCTCTGTCCATATTACTACCTCATATTTTTTTAAATACTATTAATTGATATTACTTACTAAAATTAATAATTAATTACCATTTTTACTATCAGTACAATTTACTCTTAACATTTTTTATATTTAATTACCATTACTTGTCTAATTACCATAACCTGTTTTAATACCACATTTACTATCTTAGAGTACTCTTAATTACCTTATACTGCCAATTAACCTCTAGTATAACTACCAGTGCAATATTGAATCCAAATAACTCTTCTTAAAATTTAATACTTGAAATAAACATTACTTTTTCACTTTTTTTTTTTGCTAATTAACTTTTTTTGTAATCATTATTACTTACTAAAATTTTATTAAACACCATATTTACTACCAGTCAATTTTACTTTTGTACATTAAACATTATTTTATACTTCCCATAACATTTTGTTGCCAAATTTTCAAGTTTGTATATTCAACTCCAACCTTTATATTATCCTTTGTACCTGTGTACCTGTGTACCTGTGTACCTGTGTACCTGTGTACCTGTGTACATCTGTACATGTGTACCTGTGTACCTGTGTACATCTGTACATGTGT